GATAACGCCCGGAATCGATACACTAAAACAAGCAATATATGAAAAATATCAGACATAATAATGAAAAAACACTGCCGTTTTAAGATCAATGTGGGACCTTACATGGTCTACGCAGCATTAAAAATATCCTGTTAGAAAAGAAAAATGCAAAAAATTTCAATTGAAAGGCAAAAAAGCTAGTCAAAACCGGAGCAAAAATTTCTTGAAGGATTAGAAAAGTTAGAAAAAAATAAAAGTAATTTAGCTAAATGGGCAAAAAAAATCAGTTACAGGGTAGCAAATCTAAGTCTGAACAAGGAAATTCTGATGCTTCATCGCTTAAAATGCCATATTTTAACAAATGAGGTAAAAAATATGAAAGTTAGAACCTACTGCTTATCCACTCCTTATGATAGGCAAAGGCACTTGTAAGTAGCCCTGGTTGGTACCAACTTCAACAACAATAACAAGTCCATTGGCAAGGCTATTGATGATTTTTTGTTTTTTTTTTGAGGATTACTTGTAAGCTAGCTGAGGATAAGAGATAAACGAGGTTGAAGAAAACGAAGAAATTACCTTGAGGCGGATGAATCTGATCGCGTGCTTGTTGAAATTTGCAACGAAAATGAATTGTTGTGAGGTGAGCGACTGTTTTCATTGAAATAATTGAACGGTTGATTGGACACTGAAACTAAAAATCGAAGGGTAAACATAGGTACAAAACGACAAAAATCACTATTAATTTCATTGAAACGGACCCAACTGATCTCATATATTCGAGAATAGTTAGCATTAAAACACCCTCCAAAATTTTGTAGAATTTTTTTGCCAAGGAATAACTAATTTTTACAAAAATTTTGATAAGAATTCTTGCAAAAATTCTTGCAAAATTCGTAAATTCTTACCTTTTTTAATCAAATTTTGATCCGGTGAACTGAAAGAGGAGCTACAGGAAGCAGTGATAACATTTTGAACAATGGTCGACAAGCCATCTTCGCTCTGCAGCGGTCCTCGGGAGAGGGCTCGAACAACCGGGATTGGAGTACCGCCAAGAGTTGCGCTTGTTGCTGGAACCGGTGTACTACGTGGTGTCGTCATTGGGCTGTTCAGCGTGAACGGAACCGGTGAAGCAAGAGTTGAATTGCAAGCACTATCAAACAACTGCTGCTGAAACCAGAAAAAAGCGCGTTCCGAGCGTTTTAAGTGGTCATTTCGATGAGGATTTTTATCATCTCGATCAAAAAAATTACGGGCTTTTGATACTGAGCCTGCAAACATCGCTCAAATGCAGTTATATCTCGAAGCAGCTGTGCCAGGTCCTTCTATTTCTGGTCAGCAAGTGGCTAAACTATATTCAGTTGCCCAACAGTTACGTCATCAATTTTAAGGTTACCCGAAAAGTCGCTTTCTTTCTTAAAAGTATCGTGATCTTAAAGGTTGGTGTGCCCCTGTGTGTATGTATGTGTGTGTGTATATGTGTATGTGTGTGTGTGTGTGTGGAAACACCCAGTTATATATGTATATATTAATAAGCATACGAATTAACTAAACTAATACATCGTAAAGTAAGAAAAGACAATACAAAACGGGTAGTGAGGTTCTGAGGAGTCGAAGCTCCCCAGAACATGGATAAATCGACAGGAAGTAGCTTTCTCGAGTAGCTGGGAATAGCTCTGGACCCCAGGGATGGGGAGAAGTGCTTTTATACCCCAGGAGTCAGAGATTACTAGGATTGCAAAACTCTAACGGGGCAGGGTGTCCAAAGGTTGAATCAGGGGCCGGGCTACTGCATCATAGTGACGCAGTTGTTCCTTACACCATTTCTAACTGAAAACCATAAATCATTATTTGATATATTATGTAACAATAGTATCAGTCATGCGACGTACCAGCAAAACGAATAATGCAACTAAGCCTTTATAAGGCTTTCAGTCTTCTTGGTGGCCATAATTAGGTCCCTATATAAAAAATGACAAAAATTATTAAGAAAAAACCACCTGTCTAGAAACAATATGGCTTGTTTTTGCATCACGAGCCGCAGCAGCTGCAGCATTACTGTTCGACGATTCGTTGATACTGGAAACAAAAGAGGGCCGAAGTGCCACAACTGGACGTGGTGCGATCAGCAACTGTAATGCTTAGCTCTCTTAGTTCCAGTTCTTGATGAAAATACTAAGAAAACCAAGCTTGCCCGGCCTGTAAAGTGTAGGTATGCGACGTTAGTGATGTTATTAGGATGCTCTCACATGCCACGCGCGGATAATGAAAACAACGAGGAAAGACAAATATAAATAAGAAAAAAAGTACATCATAATTTGCATTACCCATACTAATAAACAATCCTTTAAATAAGTGCAGAACCAAAAAAAGTCAAAAAAAAAAAAAATCAAACCGCGAGGAATTTGACAGCAGCTCCAAGCTGCCACCGCACAATTTTTGAGACACGAGGAACAACCCTTATTTCATTTCTAATCACCATATTAAATATCACGGAAGGGGAACCCGAGTCAACAGACGGGACATTTGCATAACATATGGAATCGAAGGGCAAATGGGCAGGGCTAAAGGGTTTGGCCAGCAGCTTCGTTTCCTTGCCGTTAGCACCTTGTTCCTTTTGCAACGCAAGGATACGGAAACTTCCCCGGTATTACCTGAACAACCAAAACCCTCTAAAATGATTCGCTTATTCGTTTTGCGCCAAATGGAACTGGATATACCAGGAAGTCAAACCCACTATCAGCTTGCTTGTAAGCAGTCCTCAAGAGCACGGTCTGACTGTTCAATGTTTTATGCACTACACACCGATAATGAACGAATCTTGGGAAGGTACAGCTAGCCTTCGCCGACAGATTTGAATCAATCGAGGACAGATATATGGAACTGCAAGGAATGATTACTTGTAAAATAACCTGTGAATTTCCCGGTTTTGTGGTAAATTCTCGAACTGGCTGATCCAAAAGTGCAACTTTTTTCGCAATACGTGCCTCAACATCAGCCGCTCTCACTGTTGTATCATGTTCTGGAATAGCTGTCCGTCTTTCTTGCACACCGATTGTTCCCGGGAATGAGGTGATCCGGGAATTACCCAAAGTGCTCGAACTGCCATTGGTCTTCAGCGAATTTTGACTTTCAATGCTGTGTAGTACGGTACTGAAATAATTTCGAACAAAAATATGGTACTGAAATAACTGAAATAATTATAGAAAGCAATACCCTGATGCTTCTCCCCATCAGCTCTTGATCAAATGGCATATGCCAATACCAATTAATCATGAAAACGAATGAACGAAACCGCACAATTAACAGTGAAATAGTAGAATGGAAGGATTGGTCTTAAGTGTCATGTGCCGAAGGAAAATTTTTTACGATGTAATTAGTCTGTTTTTCATCCCTTAGCTATAAACACAGACCAAGCAATGTGTATGGGTAGAAGCGGGAATTATCAGTACAGCCTCCCAACCGCCATGTTTTGAACAGTCATGTGGCTAAAATTTGCAGGGCAGATATGTGAGTAAGTGATCCCATTAGAATCTACTGAAAAAATAAAACATAAAAAAATACCTGAAACTAATCACATCGCCATTTGATGTTGTAAATTTCGTTGGACTTGCATGATGTGAATCGGCGTAACCTGTCCCACGCCATATTGCACTTCCCACATCGTGAAAAATGCGAGAGCTAGCAGTTAGACCACTACCACCACCACCACCTATTGCAATACCCGTTGATGTTGATAAGTATTGAGTTCCGGAAGAATTCGGCGAGCGAGGACGCTTTCT